TAATAATATTAACACTTAAAATAATAAAATAATACAGTCGCGATGGCAATTGTCGAGTATTTCCATAAATTCTGTACATTACGATGATTCTTTTACATCAGTAGTAGTGTTAATAATAACCGAAGTAAAAATTATTATCTTGTTTTCTTTTTCACAATATACTTTGGCTCGTTGAATACCTGCTGCTACACTCTACAGTCTTTGATCGTGAACATCATTAATGTACAATGTTTTTTAAATTAGTCGTATCATACACGTTTGTATGATAAATTGAATCGATGGCACGTTATGTTAACTCTTCATGTAAATACGAATACATGCATATATTATATAAATAAGTTCATGTTATTCAAGTTATTTTCTCTTCAGTTATATTATTATAATTCATATTACTTTTATTGTTCTTACAATGATTAAGCTATATTCTTATTATTGAAGTAATTGTTGAAATACATGTAGCGAAATATTAATATTATAATCTATTAATCATATTGTCTTTAAAATTATGTTACTATTATTAACGTCATGATGATTTTTTAAAATTATTACTACGAAAATGTGATTGCCAACTAATTACTATTATAAAATTGCAATTCTGATTATCATTGTGAATTTTTCCCAACGATTATTCTCGAGACAAATGTTTTTTTTTTTTTTTTTTTTTCCTACTGCGGCGTGCAAATTATTTTTAACATCTGAAATGTATAACAACTTTTTACATGCATCTCAAAACATCGTGAGTGTAAAATAAATTTTTTGAATGTATGAAAAACTAGCGTATGCACTGCATCGCATGTGTGACAAGTTAAATCAATAAGGTGGTAGATAAAATGAANGTGCAAATTATTTTTAACATCTGAAATGTATAACAACTTTTTACATGCATCTCAAAACATCGTGAGTGTAAAATAAATTTTTTGAATGTATGAAAAACTAGCGTATGCACTGCATCGCATGTGTGACAAGTTAAATCAATAAGGTGGTAGATAAAATGAAGCGCTTCCTCTGGTTATCGCCGCCGAAGTTGCAAGAGACAATATCTCTGGCAGCTTTCTGTTTGGTTGTTTTAAAAATTATTTTTCTGTGTGTACTGTTTGATGCGATTTACATTTGAGTCTCAATGTTGTTGAATAATGCAATCAAGTATAATTTTTTTTCACTTCATTAAAGAGTAGAACACAAGTTAATAAAGTTTATTAGATCGAACCGTGTAACATGTGTGTACTACCAAACGTGCTGAATCTTGTACACTCGATGATGAAACTTTTGCAAATTTGCCCAATCAAATGTTTTCAAAGAATTCTTATATCCAAACAAAAAATCCAAACCCGCTCCGAGAACAAAATGTCACTCAAATTCGCTGAGACAATGTCATGCTGTTAAATTGAAAAATGACAATGGATATAAGAATGTCTGTAGATAAAACGTTAAATTAGCTTTGGATCATGCGAATGTTGTATTAAATATGAATAAACATTGTGTGTTTGGAATAGTCTTTATAAAGAGTTTCACGGTTCGATTGACTTATGATATGTAACAAACTGCAACACGCTGCCTTGCTAAACAGTACAAGTACAAAACGAATACAAATTTACGAATACATAAAACACGTCTTCGATTTAATGAAGGGAAAGAATTCTGGTAGTTAAAATATATGAAATATAGAAATTGTTTATTATGTAAGAAATGTAACGAGGGAGTGAAAGAAA